TGATTTGTTTGCTTTTGAGATAGGGTGTCACCTTTGTCCAGGATAGGTTCAAATTCTCACTCTTCCTGCCTCAGCCTCCCGACTGCTGAGATGACAGGCATGTACTACCTCTTGCATCCCCTGACTTACTTACTTGCTCTCTTTCTCTCTCTCTTTCTTTCTCTCTCTCCCTCTTTTCTTTCTTTCTTTCTTTCGTCTTTCTGTCTATCTGTCTTTCTTTCTATATTCATGTCTCTGACATACTTAGTTTAGCTGAGAATCTCCCTTGTCTCTTCATAGCTGGACTTCTTGAGAAGTAGGGTCCACATTACATAATCATCTCTTTTTCTTTCTTTCTTTCTTTAATGGTACCAGGGTTTGAACTCAGAGCCTTGAGCTTGCTAGGTAGGCACTCTACCACTTGAACCATACCCCTGGCTCGCACATTTCTGTCTCTTCTTTTTCTGGTTTTACTGTTTTTAGCACTCACTGTATTTTGACTTACCACTCTATTATTTCAATGAAATTCTTGTGTCTGGATCATCACCAACTTCTCAATTGCTAAATCTAATGGGCTTTACCTAGTTAGTTCTTAACTTACTTTTCTGTTGCTTTGAAGCTATTGACCACAGTATTTTGAAACTGTTTGACTTCTCTGATTCTACTTTACTACTTTTTCAACTTATGAGTCCCTGGCTTCTCAGACTTCCCCACAATTGCTTACTTTCAAATTTAAAACCTCCCAAGTAGTTCAAAAATATCTTTGAAATTTTTTGTACTTTCCAAAAAGTTGTAAGAATAGCATAATGATTACCAGTTGCTTCCATTTTCCCGTGTTTTCTTTGTCACCCTTTTCCTCTGCCCCCACATATATGTATTTATGTTCATTCAAATTTTTAATTTTATTTTTGTTGCATAATTTGAGAGTTATTGGCAGATACCCTAGAGCACTTCACCCCTAATTTCTTCAGTATGTAAGTAGGAATAAAGGTATTTTTATGTCACAGTGAAATTATTATACTTGTGAAATTTATCATTGATATATAATACTGTTTTCTAATGCATGGTCCATATTCAAACTTACTCAGTTGTGTCAATAATATCATTTACAACTTTTTTGTTGTTGTTTGTTGTTTTTGGCAGTACTGGGGTTTGAACTCAGGGTCTCACACTTGCTAGACAGATCCTCCACTGCTTGAGCCACATTCCCAGTCCCATTTTGTTTTTCATATCCAGAACTTAATCAAGGATGGCACATTGTATTGAGTTGTCCTGATTCTTTAATTTACTGTAAAGTCCGTTCTTTTTTTTTTTTTTTTGGTCTTCACAAGATTGTCATTTTTGGAAGACTCTATGCCAGTTATTTTACAGAATATCTCTTAATTTGGATTTGTTTGTTTTCTCATAAAAATACTTTTAAATTTTAAAGAGGGTAAACAGTTTTTTCAAAAATGTCATATGGGTACACTGTGTCTTCAGTGTTTGGGCTCAGGAGGCACATTTTATCAGTCTTTTTCATTATTTGGTGAGGTTGACCTTGGTTGACTTTGATCACTTGGTTAAGATGGGTATCCATTAGATTTTCCATTATACAGGTACCTTTTTTTCCTTTGTAATAAGTGATCTATGGGATGACAGTTAGAAATCATTCTACCTAATGGTTTTATCTTCTGTTGTTTCTTGCCAAGTTAAAATATTGTTGTGATTATGAAATGGAGACTTTTCTGTTTTTATTATTTTTTCTAAACTTTTTTTCTTGTGTTAAAAAGTTTACCCTTAAAAAAAATTTTTTTTTAGACAGTCAAAGCCAGAAGTAGGATGTGATAGTATATATTTGTAATTCCGGCCCTTGGGAGGCAAAAGTGAGAGAGACTTGTAAGTTGAGGTACCTGGACTACATAGCAAGTTCCAGGCCAGTCTGGGCTGCATAATGAGATCCTCTCTCCTACCCCCCCAGAAAAAGCAAAGAAGCAAAGCTTGGAATGGGTGGTACATGCCTGTAATCCTAGCCACTATAGAACTTGCCAGGAGGATCACTGGAACTCTTGTTCTTGGTCTTGATCAGGAATTCAAGACCAGCAACATAGCAAAACCTTGTCTCAAAACAAATTAATAAAGAAAGCCAGGCTCAGGTGGCTCATGCCTATAATCCTAGCTACTCGGGAGACAAAGATCAAGAGGCTTTCCATTTAAAGCCAGCCCAGGCCAATAGTTCTTAAGACCCTAACTTGAAAATACCCAACAGAAAAAAAGGGCTGACAGGGTGGCTCAAGTGATAAGAGTGCCTGACTAGCCGAGTATGAGGCCCTGAGTTGAAAGCCCCAGCACCACCAAATCAATATGGGGTTTTTCCCTTCTCAGTACGTTACCTATTTCTGTCATTTATTTTGGCTCTCACATTGTCTCAAATTTTGCTAGTGAGAATCCTATTAAAATGGCCCCTCTGGGGTAGAGCATTGCTAAGCAAAGCCAGTACACTAGAGCAATAGAGTGTTCCAATGTTGTTCCAGGTTTGCCTTGCCCTTTTTCTCACTCTGGCCTAGAATCATCAATTTCTCCAAGGAACCCTAGTTTCTTTTGATGAAGGGTGGTATTTATACACCAAGATCTGGGTTTTAGCTATGCTCTTTGATGCTTCTTGCTACTAAGCTATCATGTTTTCTGGCTCGTTTTGTTTTTGTTTTAAATCATGGCCTCATACTGACATTCTAATTCCAGTTCAGTTTCACAGAGTTTTTCCCTCATCTCCAGTCCCCCTGCCCCTTACTGGTTATTGAACCTGACCTCACATATGCTAAGCATGCACTTAACACCCCTAACTACACCCATAGCCCTCAGTCCATGTTTGTAACTCCTTTTTTCCATGGTGAGAACCCTGGTAAATCATTGTAAAAGTACCCATTTGTTTAGTTGTACAATACATGCATAATAACTTTGAGAATTATAATCCTGGTACCAGTCTACTATTAGCTACCCACCTACTAAGTACAGTTGAAGATCTATATATCAGCCACTAAAGGTGTGTGGTCTCAAGTTTCTTAGGTATTTTTCTGCTTCTGTACTAAAGTTATCAATGTAATATCCAATTACATTTATGTATTTCTATTGTACTCAGTTCTATTGCTCATTTCCATTATTGATTTCATTTTGTTCTTATGTATAAAAACACTAACATGGTTCAGAAATCAAAATTTTTATCATTGCAGTAATACTGTATCATGTGATAAAACCGTTGAGATTTTATTCAGAAAATATACTAAATAGTCTTATTCCTTTTCTTATCCTTCCACTGTTTCTGACTTTGAGTTTATCTTTGTTGTGTTGAGTTTTGCAGATATAAGTAAGCACACATACATACTCTTTTTTCTCTTTTTTGAACAGTCTTTCTGTGTAGCCCAGGCTGGCCTCAAACTCTCAGTCCTCTTGCCTTAGTCTCCCAAGAGCTGGGATTAAAGATGTGTGCCATCATACCCAGTTTATATGTGTATTCTTATCTATCTTTTCTTACACAAAAGATAGCATACCTTTGTGTGTGTGTACATATATATATTTGCTCTTTTGCACATTGTTTTCATAGAGATGTCCCTTATTTTTTCTAGTTTTTTATATATGTATACATGTGCACATATACACAATGTGTATATTCCATAGGTTTTCAGCCAGTATCCTAAGTATGGGCATTTGTTTCTAGTATTTCACTTTTGCACATATGTTGCAACTAACAACCTTGTGTATTTGCTTCCCTTACTACTAGAGATGTGCCACTAGAGTAACTTCCTGGCACTTAGACTCAGCATGTCCAAAACAGTGTATCATTTTTCTCAAAACATTTTTTAAAATTTCATTCTCTCTTATTGAATGACATCATTGTCTATCCTGTTACTTAAGCTGAAACCAGGATGTCATCATCCCTTCTTGTATCTTATTAGTCAGTGCTAATGATGTACCTTTAGCCCTTCATTTTTCCCCCCAACTTCATTTCTTAGTTGTAGGTTATCTTACTTAGGTTTCTTGTATTAGCCTTCCAATTAGTTTCATTTTTCCTCTAAAACTACACAGTGCTACCAGCATGATCTTTCTTTCTTTCTTTCTTTCTTTTTTTTTTTTTTTTTTGTGGGACTGGGGTTTGAATTAAGGGCTTTGTGCCTGCAAAGCAGGCACTCTAGTGTTTGAGCCATACCTCCAGTCCATTTTGCTCTAATTATTTTGGAGATGGGGGTCTCAAGAACTGTTTGGACTAGCCTCGAACTTTAATCCTCCCAGTGTCAACCTCCCAAATAGCTGGGATTGCAGGGGTGAGCCACCAGTCCCAGTTGCACTGTTTCTTAAAGCCAAAGATTATTCATTACACCCATCTCAACATTTCTTCTTTTCCTCTAAGATAAGATTCCAACACCTTTCCTAGATGCCCAAGTCTTCTATTTTCTGGCCTCTGTTTTTACTTCTCTAACCTAATCTCTAACTACTTGGTACCATATTGAGCTACTTGTAGGTTCCTTGGACATATCCTGTCTTGTCAAGCCTCTTTTCTGCTGGAATGTCTTCTTTAACTTCTACATTGCATCTTGGTAACTTTTCAAGGTACAGCACAGATATGAGCTGCAGGGAGATTTTCTTGTGAGGTATTGCTGTTGCTCTGCTCACACAGAGTGGTCTATGCTTACCTCCATTGATCTGTCCATTTTCCCTCATTCTCTGGGCTTCCACAAAACGGGTGCTTTCTGTGGTTCTGCTTTCTTGACATGGAGCCTGGAGCAGAGTAAGCCCTTAATAGTTAGTAAATACATGTATAACTTTAATCTCCTTACAGATTTCTTAGAAAATGTATCTTTAGGTGTTCATTTACATGTTTACTTAAAAAAAAGAAAATAGTTTAGATAATGACTGTCTTCCATTACCCATCTCAGTTTCTAGTGGGAACCATTCAGTATTGGCCAGAAAAGCACAAAATAGATTTTTCAGTTACTATAGAATAAAAATGTTCACTATTTTGTTCTTATAGATCATCTCTTTTCCTTTAGGCAATGATAGTAAGAAATGCTAAAGATACAGCTCATACAAAAGCAGAACGGAATATTCTGGAGGAAGTAAAGCATCCCTTCATTGTGGATTTAATTTATGCCTTTCAGACCGGTGGAAAACTCTACCTCATCCTTGAGTATCTCAGTGGTCAGTACACAGTTTGTGTAATTATTTTACATTTATGCCAGAAACTGGGTTGAAATAGTATTTTCCAGGGGAAAATGCTTTTTCCCATTGTGATCAAATAACTCTTAAAGTAATGAATTCAGATGTGAACATTTGTTCCTAAATGCAACAAATATGAAGGAAACTTTAAAGGCTTTTTCCCATCTGTAAAATTTTATCTTAATCCCTTTGTGATCAATCATTTAACAAAGTAATAAATATCTAATACAGAGCATCACATTGCGCTGGGATTAAGATACTATAACTCAAGCCATTAAATATTTTTCCTTAAACTGAATTGGGAAAACTTATTGACAGTAGTAAGGTATTGAATATTTTTGGAATTACATCTTTCAACAGTTTTAGTTTAATGTAGACTAAGTGAATAGGGTGTACAGTTTCTATTAGGAACCATCCACATTTTCCAGGGCCTACTAGCTGCTAGGAACTTGTTGCTCCATGTATCATTTCTTTCAGGTGTCTATTTCCAGCATACACACTTGGGATTTCTAAGAAACAGAGTTTGCAGTAGTTCATAACATGAAACAGATAACTGCAGAATTTAACAACTTTTGTGATTATTGCCATTTTTTTTCTAACTTTATTTTGACATAATTTCAGACTTACATAAAAAAAAAGTTTCAAAAATTGTATAAAGTTGGTGTGGTAGTACACACCTGTAATCCCAGCACTTGGGAGGCAGAGGCAGGAGGATTGCAAGTTCAAGGCTAGCCTAGCTATATAGTAAGACCTTGTTTCAAAAAGCAACCAAAAATAGAACAAAGAATTTTCATATACTCCTCACCTAGATTCTCCAGATGTTACCATTTTTTTTATTTTATCTTTTAGCATATCAGATGTTACCATTTTGCCACATTTGTTTTACCTTCCTCTTTTTTTATGTGTATGTGTATATGTGTACACATACATACATATACACATATATACATACACATGCATACATGACTTCTTGAGCTATTTAAGAGTGTGATAGGTGTGATTTCCCTTTACTCTTGAAATTTTAGTGTTGACTTTCTAAAATCAAGGACAGTGTCTTATGTTACTTTGCTAAAATTATCACAAAAAGAAAGGGAAACATTGATACAATAATATCTTTCCTTAGTTTCTTTAATGTGGAACACTTTCAGTCTTTCTTTGTCTCTCATGATGTTGACTTTTTTTAAGAATGGAGGCCAGTTACTTTGAGGAATGCATGAATCCAGTGTTTCTTTAGGATTAGATTCAGGTTATGCATTTTGGCAGGACCATCAAAGTGACATTGTGTCCTTCTCAGTGCATCAGAGCAGGAGGCACATGATACCTATATCTTTGTCCCACTAGTGATACTGATTTTGTTCATGTTTGTAAGGTAGTGTCTGCCAGTTTCATCCCTTGGTAATTAATAAGTATTTTTTGAGAAGATACTTTGAGATTATTTAAGTATATCATCTCTCATCAAGCTTTCATATTCAGTTTTGGCATCCATTGATCTTGCCTGTTAACAATTAACTATGATGTTTGCCAAGTGATTTTTCTTATTCCATCATGCCTCCTTCATTTATTACTTGGCACTCTACTGTAATAAAGAACTTTCCTTTCTCCCCCATTTAAAAATTATATGTATCTGTTCATTTATTTACATCATTCTAAGATCATTCAGTGGAATATAATTCTTTATTATTTACTTTGATACTCAGAGTGTGCCATGTTTATTATACCAGGTTCATTTAGTTTAAGGGTTCTCAAAATATGGAATATTAGCATTTGCTAAAATTAGGGTGATCTAATTGTATACTAACATTTTCCTGCTTATGGATAAAAATGTTAGAGAAGCCTTTTAACTTCATGAATGAAATCTACATATATTTTGAAGTTTGTAGGTATAAAATCTAGAATTCCAAGTCAATTCTAGTGTTTAAACTTTTGTATTCCATGAAAGAGTAGGATTGCTGCCAAAAATAAAATCCTGAACACTTATTTTAAAACCTGTAATTTTATGATCTTTTTTATTTTTAAGGGGTTAATATGTTTCAATATGATTAGAAGGAAAGCTTAGAATTCTCATTAGAAGTGAGGTAGAAATAAAGACTGTTTTATTTCTAATGTCTTTTCCTTTTCTTTATAGGAGGAGAATTATTTATGCAGTTAGAAAGAGAGGGAATATTTATGGAAGACACAGCCTGGTGAGTGAAATTTTTGGGTTTCATGGATTCAGGTGATGATTGCTATAATCTAAAGTGAAGCCCCATTCCCACTGTGGCCAGCCAAATTATTTAGTAAATTGATATAGAGCCAGTCAGCCACTCAGAACTTCAAGGAGAAGTAGCTTTGGGGCTGGGCAGTTGTTGGAGGTTACATTATCCCTTTACTCCCAGGCCTTGGGTGACCACTCCTCACACTAGTTCCTAACAGCTGTTCTCACTGCAGCTTTCTTTCCTTAAGTTGGTAAGCTGCCTTCCTTAGCTCCGAGTGAGGGTGGTTTTCCAGTGAAACTTTGTGTGTAGAGCAATGGAAAGTATCAGAATCATTTCTTTTTCTAGACTTCCAGTTCCCAAGGTGCAGTCTTAGGGAGGTGATAAGCCTGAACATACCATCTGTGGATTGATTACATGGCCAGGATGGGATCTGCCCTCCTATTTGTAAGATGGCATCTGCTTTAAATTAAAAATATAGACATCCTTTTGTAAAGTGACATATTGGGTAACAGTACATTAGTTTATCCTACACATTAATTGAATAGAAAACAACACTTAAATGTTTTTCCGATCTTAATTACCAAACTGCATTCCATTGTTTAATTTCAGGCCTTTTCTAACACAGAAGCTGCATTTAAGAGCCTTAGGGATGAAGTGCCCTTTTTTGGAGGAGGCTCTCTGAGCCGTGTTGGAGGCTGTTTGTGGTCGTGCTGGCTGTGAAACTGCCTCAGTCCTCTAGGACACACCCTCTCCATCCTGGAGTAATCTGCAGGATTGCAACATTGTTATGCAGCCAGTATTGCAGTTCCTTGTGCTTTTCGAATCCAGACAGGGTTGATTCAGCCCTTTATTCTTTTGAGGTAGATGAATTTGAGTGTCACACAGTTTATAGTTGTGGGCTGGCTGGCAAGAGGGAGGGCAGAAACTATGGGCACAGCTGTCTGCAGCTGCATTAAGGGATGAACGGGCTTCTGAGGGTCAGGTTATAAGGTGACTTAAAATCAAGGCTTGATTTCTGAGAATAATTAAGTTCCCATTTTCTATGGGATCTTAAAGTTGGGGGGTGGGTGGGAGGAATTTGCTTTGATTTGAATCCCTGTAAGACAGAAGAGAACATGATCAATGATAGTCTGGCATATTCTGGACATCTTTGCAATTTTAGCAATATATTCTAATGGAAAAAATAAAACATTTTATAGTTCACTAAAACAAATGAAACAAAATTCCCCATGCCTTTTGGCAGCATCCTGTACCATTTCTTTTCCCCATTCATTCCCCACCCAACTAATTTGGTCTTTGGTGCATGTCTGTTGCTTTCAAGGAATTTTGTTCCATACATAAACTGCTTTGGGTAGATTTCTTTTCTTAATTTTATTAAATCACTTTTGTTTCCAGCTTTTACTTGGCAGAAATTTCCATGGCTTTGGGGCATTTACATCAAAAGGGCATCATCTACAGAGACCTGAAGCCGGAGAACATCATGCTTAATCACCAAGGTGGAGATAACACCATGCACAATTCTGTAGTAAATAACATCCTAAAATGTTCCTGCACAGGTCATGGCCACTTTTAAGGCCTCATGTTCATCTATTATCTTACATTTCTTCCCTCAGAATTTATTGCACCATAGTATTTGTTAAATGTTTAGATATTTAAGTACTTATGGTTGGTGAGATTAAACAGTTGAAGATTAGTAGCACAATTTACAACTTTTTTTTTGGTGGCACTGGAGTTTGAACTCAATTCTTCACACTTGCTAGGTAGGTGCTCTTGCCGCTTGAGCCATTCCACCAGCCCTTTTTTGTGTTGGGTTTTTTCTAGATAGGATGTTGCGAGCTGTTTGCTCAGGCTGGTTTCAAACCCTGATCCTCCTGATCTCTGCCTCCCTAGTAGCTAGAATTATAGGAGGGAGCCAGAGCCCGGCTTAACTTTCTCTTTTAAAAAAAATTTTTATTCAGTGTTATGAGCCAAAAGCCGGTTCAAGCATTAATTTTGGTTTGTTCCCTAAACCGAAAATTTGGGTTTTTTTTTTGTTTGTTTGTTTTTGTTTTTTTCAGTACTAAGGATTGAGATCAGATCTTTGCCCTTGCTAGGCAGGTACTCTGCCACTTGAGCCACACATCCAACCCTAAAGAGTGTACCTTAGTTATATAAATTGAGTGATATATTTGTTTATAGTACAGGCTGGCCTTGAACTCATGAGCATAGTACTGCCTCCATCTCCAGAGTGCTGGGATTACAGGTGTGTACCACCACACCCAGCTAATAAATCTAGTTTTAATGATAAATATATAAATAGTAGAAGTAATACTTTTTATGATAAGCTTTTTTTTTTTTTTTTTTGTGGTACTGGGGCTTGAACTCAGGGCCTGCACCTTGAGCCACTCCACCAACCCTATTTTTTTTGAAGGGTTTTCCGAGAGAAGGTCTCTCGAACTATTTGCCTAGGCTGGCTTCAAACTGTGATCCTCCTGATCTCTGCCTCCTGAGTAGCTAGGATTATAGGCGGGAGTCACCAGCACTGGCTTAATTATTGTTTTGGTTTGCGATGACAGACATAAACATCAGAGAGACTAATATTCCATACAGAACTAGGTATAGCACAGTGAGCCTTGACTGCAGTGGCATGAGGTGATCTATGCTGCAGTGAGTGAGCTGGGTGATCTGCTCCCTGGGGGAGCAGCCAGCAGACCAGGGCATCTCGGGGCTAGTAGCTGCTTATCCTCAGATGTCTGTAAGATGAAGAGGTCTGCTCAAACAGAAAATGGTGTATGGACAACTAGCCCAATATAAATCTTCCAAATTGGTTTTTTAAAAGGAAAAATTGTATAGTTAAAAAAGTACATAATGGGAGCCAAGTCTCTCCCTTCCTTCACCCCCTTCCCCCAAACCTAGATTCTGATTTTGAATTCTAAGGCAAAGGATAGAATAGGGCAGTGATGGAATAGTACACTTGTTTGATCTATAAGCTTTAGGGTATCATTATCATGGGGTTATACGAAAATAAAGGCTATGGTGGTACACTTATATAATCTGAGCACTCAGGAGTCAGAGGCAGGAGGAGCTTGGGTTTGAGGCCAGCCTGGGCTACCTAGCAAGACCCTGTCTCAAAAACAAAAAAAAAAAAAGAAAGTCATATTTCTTCAGAATCAGAATGTAGTGTATATTCATATTTTAATCACTAGGCCATTGCCTCTTTTTTTCTCTGTAATGAATCAAGTAGTAGGGCCCCTGGTGTGGTTGAACTCATAGTTAATCAAATGACAGTTCAGAAAGCTTAACTTCAACTGAAGTGATCTTTTCTTAAGATGGAGTTCCACCTTGTGGAGCAGAGATGATTGCCCCGTGCCACTGTCAATTCTTTACTCTAATTGGTAGCATTTGGCAGGAAGCAGTTCTTTCTACTCACTGACAGAGTTAGCTAACTTGTTACAGTGACTTTCTGAGACCTTTATAAGAACTCTCAAGTCCTAGTTCACTGTGATAAAGCTATATAGTTGAAGAAGTGTTATAATTTTAAGTATGGAATGTGTTTATTAGGGTCTATAATACTTAAGCTGGACTTCAGAAAGAAGCTTCCCCATGTCTTTTCTTTCTCAGAATGGAATAGGATTCTGCATAGAAGTAAAGCCAGAGCCGTAAACAAACTGTTTCATTTTTTTCTATTTAATCTTTACTAGCACCCCATTTTATGGAAGGTACCTAGTTAGTTCTTGATATCTTCAAGAGAAGTTGAAAGCAGGAAAATTTAAATGGGCAGATAGGTTATTGTCTTATGTTTTATATTCAAACACTGTACATCCTTAAAATTCTCAGAATAATCATGCTGTAATCTTTCATTGTAGGTCATGTGAAACTAACAGACTTTGGACTATGCAAAGAATCTATTCATGATGGAACAGTTACACATACATTTTGTGGCACGATAGAATACATGTGAGCTGCATGTTAAAAGCAATATAACTGGTTTCGGGGTAATATCTAGCTTTTACCTGGTTTAAGTCATAGTTTTCTATAGCATCATTAGCTTCATATATTGTTTTTAAATTCTCATTCAGATGGTGTGCAAGTGGGTAAGCTTTCAGGTATCTTATCTTTCTCATTGTAGGGCCCCAGAAATCTTGATGAGAAGTGGCCACAATCGTGCTGTGGATTGGTGGAGTTTGGGAGCATTAATGTATGACATGCTGACTGGAGCAGTAGGTGCACAGTTAAAAGTTGCATGTATTAGAGTCTGTACTGAGTAGTTATTAACCACTAAAGCACTATAGACCTTTCCTGTACTTTTTCGAAATGTTGCAAGGGACTTGACTTATTTTCTAAGACTTGTCATCAGCAGTTTAACACTAATAGTGCTATATGATTATATGGGATTTCCATGCTTTGTGGTATTGGGGATTAAACCCAGGGTCTCACACACATGCTGGGTAAGCACTCTACCACTAGAGATACACCCCTTGCCCCCTTGCCCTTTGATTTTATATTTTGGTTTTGAGATTTTGTCTCACTAAATTTTCTCAGATTGAACTCAAGATCCTCCTGCTTCTGCTTCCCACCTACCCAGGTAGCTGTGATTACAGATGTGTTCCTCCACATCAGGCTTAATTCTGTACCCATACTTTTTCCCCCACTTTGGTGATACTAGGGATTGAACTCAGAGCCTTGCATATGCTAGACAAGCACTCTGCCACTTGAACCATGCCCCCATTTAGTTTGTTTTTCAGATAGGAACTCGCACTTTTGCCTGGCCAGATTTGGACCGAGATCCTTTTATCTCTGTCTCCCGAGTAGCTGGGATTATGTGTGTGCAACATGCCTGACTTACTTTTGAGATAGGCTCTCACTAACTTTTTGCTCAAACTGGCCTTGAACCATGATCCTGCTTCCTTCTACCTCTCAAGGAGCTTGGATTCCATACTTTAAAGTTTTTTCATTTTTAAAAATTATTTATTTATATGTATATATATATTTTTTTTGGTGTATGGGGGTTGAACTCAGCTTTGGCTTGCTAGGAAGGCACTTTACCACTGCAGCTACTATACCTCTATCTTTCCTCTTTTTCTTTTTCTTTCACATCCTAGCTTTTATTTTTATTTATTTATTTGTTTGTTTATTTTTTGCAGTACTGGGGTTTGAATTTAGGGCCTAATGTTTGGTAGGCAGGTGCTCTGCCACTTGAGCCACTCTACCAGCCCTGTTTTCGTGTTGGGTATTTTTAAGATAGGGTCTTGAGAAGTTTCCCTAGGCAGTTTCCAAGTAGATTCTCCTGATCTTTGCCTCCAAAGTAGCTAGGGTTACAGGTGTGAGCCACCAGTTTTTTGGGTTTTTTTGTTTATTTTTTGGTGGTACTTGGATTTGAGCTCTGGGCCTTATGCCCCCTGGGCAGGTACTCTACGCCTTAAGCCACATCTTCAGCCCTTTTTGCTTTAGTTATTTTTTAGATATGGTCTTGAGTTTTTGCCCAGGTCAGCCTCAGACAGCAATCCTCTTAATTTACAGCTCCCATGGAGCTGGGATCACAGGTACTCATCACCGCATCTGGCTTGTTTATGTTGAGATTGGGTCTCACTAACTTTTTGCCTGTGCATGCCTTGAACTTTGATCCTCCTATTCTCTGCCTCCTGAGTAGGTGGGATTACAGTCATGAACCACCACACCTGATTTCAAAACATTTTTATTTAAATGATCTAAGTAATGGCAGTCTTGTAAAATAGACATAGGATAGGTGAAATGGAAGCATAAAATCACGTCTCAGTGATGATCAGAAAATTAATGGAAATCCTGACTTTCTAGGACATTGCTACTTCTTCTATATCACTACTGAAAAAGTAGTTATTTAGTAGTTCATTTCACAGCATACATGTCTGATCTCCATAATAACTGATTAATTGATAATATTGTCATAGAAAGTTTGGTCTTTTTGTATATGTTAATTTTTCTTCCTCTTTTCTACCCTTAGCCTCCATTCACTGGGGAGAATAGAAAGAAAACGATAGACAAAATCCTCAAATGTAAACTTAATTTGCCTCCCTACCTCACACAAGAAGCCAGAGATCTGCTTAAAAAGGTAGGGTTCTTTAAATGGACACTTTTGCAATCCTTAACAACTAGAAATTAACTAGATAGGATTTAATGTATATTTTGAGTACAGGATCATACCTGGATATTGGGGGGGTAAAAAAAAAAAAGCCTGACGTTTTTTTAAAGTAAAGCTTAAAGATTTTCCTTTTGTTCTCAAACAGTATTTGGAAACAATTAATAAATTATGCTTTTTCTCAAATAGTATGAGTAAGATTCTTCATCAGTGTTTTTTTTTCCCCCTAAAGCTGCTGAAAAGAAATGCTGCTTCTCGTCTTGGAGCTGGTCCTGGGGACGCTGGAGAAGTTCAAGTAGGGATTGATATGTTTGGTGTTTTGGGAAAAGATAATGCTAATTTTATTTGTGAGAGCTGTGTGTAGTTGCTTATAAATTTAGTGATTATTTGTGATTTTTAACTTCAAAAAAGTGATTGATTTGTCATTTCAGTAGTCTACTTCCCTTGATTTTTTTTCTGTCTTTTTTTTTTCTAGGCTCATCCATTTTTCAGACACATTAACTGGGAAGAACTCCTGGCTCGGAAAGTAGAGCCACCCTTTAAACCGCTATTGGTATGTGTACCTGAAAAAATATAACTAGAGGGACATGATCATTTTTTAGAGTAAGAAATATCTCAGAGAAAGCAGGTGTGGTGGCCTACTCCAGTATTACCTCACCTTTACTAATTTCACCTACAATCACCCTTTCCAAATAAGCTTACATTCTGAGGAACTGGGGGTTAGAACTTCAACATGAATTTAAGGATGGGGGAACACAATTATAGTCCATAACAATATGTTTATGATTAAACGAGTTAGTATTTTATTTCGTTTTTAACTTTCTCCCACCTCACAATCTAAAAAAATATACTTTTTATTTCTTGGGATATAGGTGGGAGAAGAGAAGGATAATGATGATACTGTTATTTGGTCATGGAACACAAGGTGGTCTGCTTTAAAATGTCAACTTGTACAATTGTTAGGAGGATAACTAATTCATATACCTACTGCCCAGCTTCAAAAATGGCCTGGTTGTCTTGTTTAAAGATAACCATCACAGCTAAAAGGTTGACCATTCCCTAGTTTCTTTTGTATATTGTTTTTTTTCTTTTCTTTTTTTTTTTTTCTGCTTCAATAAGTCACATAGTTTGGTTGGTTGCTTTATTTCTGAGGTCTCTTTTTTTTTTTTTTGTGGCACTGGGGTTTGAACTCTAGGCTTCACGATTGCTAGTCAGGCACTCTTACTGCTTGAGCCACGCCCCCAACCCTCTTACATCTCTTTTCATTTATAAGTATACCCTCTCAAACCTTCTTCCTGGGGATTTATTGAAGAAACTGGACCATTTGTCTTAAAGAATTCCTCATATTTTGATTTTATCACCATGGTGTCAAGAGATGTTCATCTGTTCCCTTTATTTTCAAAAACTAGTAATTAGATTTAGATGCTTGTTCTGATTCAGTTTAAACTTTGGTATTAGATGCTTTGGTAAGGAGGACTAATGTGTACTTATATTTCCTTTGTGATTGACGTTAGTAGTGACTGATCAATATCTACATCAGTAGTTCTTAACCAGGGGCAATTTGGCAGTGTCTGGAAGCATTTGGTTGTAACAAGTTGCCGGAAGGGTTGCTACTAATACCTAGAGCATATGGGCCAGCACAGGATAGCCCCCTACAACAGAGAATTATCAGGCCCAAAATGTCAGTAATATTGATGGGGAGAAATTCTAGTCTTCTTCCATGATTTCAACAAAGGTTTACTAAATGGTCTTACTCTGTTACTCATTCTTTCTTTATTAGCTGGAATTTTTCCATGAAGAGAAACTCTCATCAATTGTTTGATTACACAAGCTACAGTTCACACAGGAAAAGCAGGACAAATGGTTGATTCTTTGCCAGTTTTCAAAACAATAGTTCCCTAGTATCTTTCAAAATTGACCAGTGAATTTTGTAATTTTTTTTTTAGTATCTTTGTGAACTCATACATTTTAATATATTTTCATTGCACTCCATTGCAATCATTTTCATTGATACTCAGTTTTCCCCAGTCTTTGGACATTGAGTGTATCTTCACATTGGTCCTTGGGTCCTTTTGACGTGACCATATTCTCTGGTATTGCACCAGAGAGTAAAACAAGAAAACTCATGTTCTATGGTTATCTTGTATTATTTTCCCCATACCTGGAATCAGCTATTTCTCCAAGGAGTACTGATTCCTTCCAGTGTAAACTGGAATTTAGAGTGGGCTCTAAGAGTGTTACTTGACTGATCATTGTGACTATGTCATGAAGTGGTTTTTTTTTTTTTTTTTTTTTTTTTTAATATATGGAATGCTTCATGAATTTGCGTGTCATTCTTCCACAGGGCCATGCCAATCTTCTCTATATCATTCTAATTTTAGTATATGTGCTGCTGAAGTGAGCACTGTCATGAAGTTTTTATTCAGAAGTATATTTTGTGGATAAGGTCAACATGTTAATCTTTTAGCATTAAATCACATTTTTATGATTTGATATTTATTTCCTTTATTTGATCATAGAGTTTAACCAGATACATTGAGAAAGAGAAGGAATTAAAAGAATAAACCTGGTGGTTAGAATTTAGGTGTTGACTATTTTTTCACAAGAAGATAAACTTAATGCAGAGAAGAGTATTATTTTCATTTCTTATGGAACCTAAAGGAGTGAAATACGCTATAAGAAACTTTCACTAGAGCTTTTTTTTTTTTTTTTTTTTTTTAAATGGTACTGGGGTTTGGATTCAGGGACTTACACTTGCTAGGCAAGAGTTCTACCACTTGAGCCACTCCATCAGCCATGATATTTAGATTTCATAAAGGAATGATAACTAAAATAGAATCTGTTAACTCATTTAAAATTTGAAGATATAGGCTGGGGGGGGATATGCCTCAATGGTAGTGTTTGCCCAGCAGTGTAAGGCTCTGGGTTCAATCTCCAGTACTACAACATAACAAAAAATTGAGGAAGTAAGTTGACTGTTGATACTTTCCACCTATGTTTTTCTTCAGTCTGTGCCTAAGACTGTTCTTATATTTTATTACAGTCAACCCCTACAAAAAGAGCTTGCAACACATTTGATTGATATAAGTTGTATAGGCTGTTTATCATTTTCTAATCATTCTGTTTTTATAAAGCAATCTGAAGAGGATGTAAGTCAGTTTGATTCAAAGTTTACACGTCAAACACCTGTTGACAGCCCAGATGACTCAACTCTTAGTGAAAGTGCCAACCAGGTCTTTTTGGTAAGTGAAAGAATTTCCATGTAACCACAGGAAATTTAAGTGTGAGGATGGTTCCTGCAATAAAAAATTCAGTTTGTTTGCTTTGAAGTTCACATAGGAAACCTGGCTACCTTGATTTTCATAGTGACCTTCCATATTAGCAATTAAAGTGAGAATGTATGATTCTTTGGGGTATATGATCCCAGGTTTGTTTGACGTACTTTACTGACTTAAAATGATGTTTGGTGGGCTGATGGAGTGGCTCAAGCAGTAAGAGTGCCAGCCTAGCAAGGCAAGGCCCTGAGTTCAAACTCCAGTGCTGCCAAAAAAAAAAAAAAAAGTTTATTGCCAGGCACCGGTTATTCACATCTGTAATCCTAGCTACTCAGGAGGCAGAGATCAGGAGGTTCGAGTTTTGAAGCCAGCTGCAAATAGTTCGAAAGACCTATCTTGAAGAAGAAAAAAAAAAAAACCCATCCTGGTGGAGTGGCCCAAGGTGTAGACCCTGAGTTCAGGCACCAGTACCATTTAAAAAAAAAAAAAAGAAAGAAATTAGTTTTCATTGTAAATGTATATATACTACATGCCCAGCCCCAAGACCTTTTAAAAAATTAATTAAAAAAAGTAGGAGCGGGGGCATTGTTCAGTTGTAAGCATATGTTTAACTGAATGAGGCCCTGAGTTCAATCTCCAGCACTACCCCAAAAAAATGTTTTTAAGTATGGGGTTTGGGGTGTAAGTGGTAGAGCACTTGCCTGGCATGCACAAGGCTCTGGGTTCAATCCCCAGCACTACAAGTAAACTAAAAAGAAAAACTTTAAAAATCCCCACCTACCTGGAGATTTTGGTTCTAGCAACTTCAGTTTAACATACATTTAATAATGTACAGCCAGGTTCTCTAGGTAGGTACAGCTTTAGTCCACTAGACAAATAGCCTCTGAAGTCACAAAGCAACTACACCATACCATTCTGAATGTGCTTGATGTGGGCTGAAGTCACAAAGCATTGCACCTTACTCTGTGGGACTTCATCCAGAACCTGTTGAGTCATATTTACTATAATGCATACTGCTCACGAATACCTAGTAATTCATAGGAGAGACAATAGGCACAGGGCTGATTGTTGAAAGAACTAACATTGGTAGCAAAAGAAATGAGTTGGCTGCATGCTAGCAAAGTACAAGACAGAACTAAAGCTGCTCCAACCACATTATTTATTTATTTATTTTGGTGTGATGGGTTTGAATTTAGGGCTTTGCACTTGCAAAGCAGGCACTCTACTGCTTGAGCCACACCTCCAGTCCCATTTTGTTCTGGTTATTTTGGAGATGGGTCTCAAGAACTATTTGCCCAAGTATGAACCTTGATCCTCCCGATCTCAGCTTCTCAAGTAGCTAGGATTACAGGGATTACCAGCATGAGATGCCAGTACACAGCAAGAATATAGTTTTCTTTTTTTCTTTCAGTACTAGGGTTTGAACTCGGGCTTCATCTTTGCCAGGCAGGTACTCTACTGCTTGAGCCACGCCTCCAGCCCTGAAACTGCATTTTTATGTATTACAATGGAGAATTTTCATAATGTTGATCAGAAAGATATCAAAATCTGTATAATCATTGGAGCAAAACTGGGAAGATTACACATGCTAAATGAGTGAATTCTATTTGTACTTTGGCCCAGTTATGAGAAACATTTGTAAGTGATAATCTTAGTTGCTTATCTAGGTATGCTGGAAAAATTGGAATTTTGTTTCTTTTGGTCTTAAAATCTTAATGTGGAGCCTACAGTTTTGTTTTTTTCTGCTAACAATAGAGTAGGATTTTGTTTGCTGATATGTGGGGCTCAATGTAATTCTGCTCTCTTGAAATCTATGCCTTAACAGATAGCTGGAAAGGTGCTTAACAGGTATGAAAATGAGATCAAGGAGATGGGAGAATATACACATTGGTGATTTTAGGTGTACATCATTGCATTGGCAGGTCAGAGACTAAACAACCTACTTTACCAAAAACAAAAGACCAGGCAGGGTAGCACATGTCTATAATCCCAGCATTCAGGAGGCTGAAGCAGGAGGATTAAAAGTTTGAGACCAGCCTAGGCTATATAATGAAACCCTGTCTCAAAAAACCCCCCAATTTTTTTTCTTGACACGTGTAAGATGCCATTCTGTAGTTCTGTTAATGTCTTTCAGGGTTTTACATATGTGGCTCCATCTGTACTTGAAAGTGTGAAAGAAAAGTTTTCCTTTGAACCAAAAATCCGATCCCCTCGAAGATTTATTGGTAGCCCTCGAACACCTGTCAGGTATTTCAAACTTTGTTATTCTCAGTGTTTTTTGCTTTTTTTAAATTTTGAAAGAACATTAAGTAATTTAAGCTAAGTTACATAAATGAAAGATCTATAATATTGTCTTTGGTTACTGTAAGCACAGCCTCTATTATTGTCTTAGATTGCCAAGGTCTAGTCTATGACTAGTCTCTCCTAGGTTATATAGTTTGCCTTTCCTCTTCACAGGAAGCTCCTGTGCTGGCAAATGTCCTCTGTGTGCATTTACTCAACATTCATTGTACACCAGGCACTGTTCTGCATGCTCTATGTATAATATATGTAACATGAAATTGTTCCTGTCCTGATGAAACTTACAATTTAGTGGGAGTGAATCATAATAAACAAAGATGGGAGTACAAAAAATAGTAACTGAAAGTTGTGCTAAGTGTGGCAATAGAAAGCAGAGAAATAAGGGGGCTTCAACTTGTAGTGGTCAGAGAACAGCCTCCCTGGCAAAGTAACATCTAGGAATAAAGAGAAAGAGCCAGCTATGCAAAAATAGAGGTTCAAAAGTGTTGCAGGCAGAAGAACAGCAAATGTAGAAGCCCATAGGGAGGAAAAAAACATGGTCTTTTCTTGAAAATGAAGAGGAGGTCAGTGTTTCTGCAGTGTAGTGAGTGAGGAAAATGGCAGAGGTTTGGAAAAGTATTTTATTTTAAATGCAGTGGAAAGCTGTTTCAAGTGGGGAAGAAATTATTTTAAAGTATATCATTTAGAGCCAGGCGCCAGTGGCTCACACCTGTATCCTAGGTACTTAGGAGATTGAGATCAGGAGGATGGTGATTCAAGGCCAGCCTGGGCAAAGAGTTTGTAGGATCCCATCTCAACAAATAGCTGGGTGCAGTGGCATATACCTGTCATCCCAAGCTACACAGAAGGCTGAGATTGGGAGGCTTGAAGTTCCAGGCTAGTCTAGGCAAAAAAAAAAAAAAAAAAAAAAAAAAAATTCATGAGACCTCATCTCAAGGGGAATAAAAGCTGGGCATGGTGGCATGGGTCTGTCATCTCAGTTACAGCAGAAATCATAAAATAGGAGAACTGCAGTCTAGGCCAGTCTGTGCAGATGTGAGACCCTACCTCAAATATAAACAGAGCAAAAAAGGGCTGCATGGCTCAAGCAATAGAGTGCCTGCCCAGCAAGTGCAAGGCCGCTCTCAGTTCAAACCCCGATAGCACAAAAAAAAGAAAAAGTCATTTAGGGTTTTAGGGATCAAATTTAGAGATAAAGAGACCAGTTAGGGCACTCTAGCAATTAATCCAGGGGGGAAATGTCTCAACCTTTGCTTTTGTGTCAATCCACTAGAAAATAAAATTAAATGAAAAAAAATTCATATTGTTACCCTCTCCTTTTAAATATCGGGGAGATGTTTCTTGTTGAGATGACCCTTGAGACAAATAAATGATAGCTGTTCCTTGTCTTAAAGCCCGGTCAAATTTTCTCCTGGGGATTTCTGGGGAAGAGGTGCTTCAGCCAGCACGACAAATCCTCAGACACCCGTGGAATACCCAATGGAAACAAGTGGAATAGAGCAGATGGATGTGACAATGAGTGGGGAAGCATCGGCACCACTTCCAATACGACAGCCTAACTCCGGGCCCTACAAAAAACAAGCTTTTCCCATGATCTCCAAACGACCAGAGCACCTGCGAATGAATCTATGACAAAGCGATGCTTTTAATGAATTTGAGGCAAAAAAAAAAAAAAAAAAAGTGGGAGAGGGGATGTATGAGCATCCAGCAAGATGAGACAAGAAGAATCCAAATGACAGTGTCAAAGACTCAGTGTCATTACCTAGAACACTTTGGGTAGAAAAAGAATAAACATGGATTTTTAAAAATCAATCAATGGTGCAAAAAAAAAAAAAAAAAAAAAAAAAACTTCAGCAAAATAGTATTGTGGAACTCTTTGGCACATCAGTTAACTGATTCCTAGCAACATCTTCTCAACATTATCAAGGGTTTTCATGTTGATGGCTCGAAACTGACAGTATTAAGGATAGGCTGTTGCTTTGGAATCACTGGTGAGTTCTGATTGTATCGAAGAAGGGTTATCCTTTCATTAGGCAAAGTAAGAAATTGCCTATATACTTGCAACTAAGGACAAATTAGCATGCAAGCTTGGTCAAACTTTCCAGCAACACGGAATCAAAGACAAAAGAAACTTAAAAATTGAGGTTTTACGTGCAAACAACCTGAATCTTTTTTTTATATAAATATATATTTTTCAAATAGATTTTTGATTCAGCTCATTATGGAAAACATCCCAAACTTTAAAATGCGAAATTATTGGTTGATGTGATGAAGGCCAGACAGCTTCTGTTTCTTCTCTTGATGAAATAATAAAATGCAATGAATCATTGTTAACCACAGCTGTGGCTCGTTTGAGGGCTTGGGGTAGACCTGGGGTTTATCTTTAGTAACCCAGCTGCAATACCTGTCTTTAGTACTAGAAAAAAAAAAAAAAAAAAAAAGAATCTATTTAATCATTTCTACTTGCAGTACTGCTATGTGCTAAGCTTAACTGGAAGCCTTGGAATGGGCATAAACGGTATGTCCTACATGTCATCTTTGTCCTGGGCCTGCCTTGCACTGGAAAACAATCGCCACCTGTTCTTATACCAGTATTGGGATCAATCGTCAAATATGTTCAGCCTGTGGCTGAGGAAGGACGGAAGAGAGTCAGGAAAAAATCCATACTGAGGGCGGCAAAGTGGGGAAGATAGGGATATCCAGGGGAAGAGGGTGCTGCCGTAGCCACTCTCTGTACAAATTGGTTAGGTTTCAGGTTTTACTTTTTACTATTTTTGCTGTCTACCTTCCTTAACATTTTTTCCTCAGTAGTTTTCAAAAGGAAAAAAGGTCTAATTTTTTTCTCCTATACTGGGCTATTTTTTATTGTAAAAATACTCGATGGCCTTTTGATGAATGTCTTCCATAGTGAATAAGAAAATTTAGTGGCTTAATTTAGGAAATATGTTAACAGGACATTGTTTTTGAAATTGTAACAAAATCTACATAAGTGATTTACAGGTACAAAGAATAAAAATAAAGGTAACTTTACCTTTCTTAAATCTTTCCTGCCTTAAAGAGAGCATTTCCGTGATGTTAGCTGGTGAAAGGGTTTCCTATCTGCAGAGCTTTATAAAAACACGTTCAGTGCATACTGGTACAAGTAGATGATCATGCAGTTGCAGTTGAGTCTTCATCATTTTTTGTTGGTCTTTTATAATGTCTTTAGTCTGTGCAAAGTTAATTTGTAATAGTTTGCAACCCTAGGATTTTTTAAAATAGATGCTGCTTGCTGTGTTCTCCAAACCTTTTTGAGCCATAGGATTCAAGCCATAAAATTCTTTATGCATGTTGAGTTCAGAGCAAGACTTTGCTGATTTCAATTGGAATTCAGGTTATATGAGGATGAAATCATATGAAAATAAGCAGACATGGAACCATGAAAATTTATTGGGAATACACCTTTTCAATTGTGGCAATAAGTGAATTGATAAGATCATCTTTGGACAGAACACCTTTTTTTGTTTGTTTAAACCATTACTGCCAGACCACTTTTTTTTATTGCAGCAGCCTACTGAGAACTTTATAATTGTATAGCTGATAAATTAGAAGCTACAATAAGGGCAGAAGTTGTACTTAGAGTACAGGTCTCTGTTTTCTGACAATTTGTGATGTCTGACAAGCAGAACCCAAAAAGCCATGGTGAAATGTATAGGCACTGTTTCAGACTGTACACGATTTGTACTACTCTGATACTTGTTTCCAAATGTGTTTACTAACTATAGCATTGACTGCCTGACCAAATTCCAGCGAAACTTCACCAAAATATTCCTCCTCAGTCCTGTTTGCTAGTAACATGTGCACTATGATTGGCTGGCTATAACCACCCCAAAGTTAAATTGTTTTCATGATTAGCACTGCCAGTAATAGTGGCAAACACTGCAAGTTTTTTTGCATAAAACGCATTAATTACACACCTACTGTCCAAACAAAGATATAGTTTTTCTGTAGTAACATTTAATGAGTAAAATTAATTTCCCATGCTAAGGCAAGTTTATTGAGAAAAATTGTGTTTCATAAATGGATATCCCTACAATGACTGTGAAAACATGTCAAGTGTCACGTCAGTGTCACAGACAGAAAGCACACACCTATGCAATATGGCTTACCCTGTATTTATTTGTAAAAATCCGAGCATAGTTTAAAATATATGGTGTCAATATTACTAGTCTTGAGTTTCTAAGAGGGTTCTTTATGATTATATCAGGTAAGTGTGTAAAAAAGATTAAGTGCTTTTCTTTCATCACTTGATTATTTTCGTTAAGATCAGCTTATTACAGGATATTTTTTTATTTTATACATGCTGTTTTTTAATTAAAATGTAATCACTGAACTGAAGTTTACTAATTTGATTTTATAAGGTTTGTAGCATTACAGATTAAACTGGGATTTATAAACCAGCTGTGATTAACAATGTATTTACTATTGAACTTGAACCAGATTTTTAGGAAAATTATGTTATTTTTCCCCTTTATGGTCTTTACCAATCTGAATTCTTCAAGAAGAATTTTTCCATGCTATTTTTTTGAGATAGAAGATAATTTGAGGTGGGGGGAGGAAGATGCATGTGTAAGTCTCCATAAATTCAACAGTCTTTACTATAGGTAATTAATTATTTTAAACAAAGACACATCTTAGACACTGTTAATATCCTAAGCTTTGGATTTCACAGTTAGCATAGAACCTATTGTTTTGAATATTCAATTAATTTTATGGTTCCTAGCTTACAGGGCTAGATCTAAGATTATTACCATGAGAAATGTTGAATTTATGAAGAATGGGTTTTGAGGCTTTGAAAATTGTTAATTTCTCAAATAAAAGTATCACTGTCCAACTATCAAGTTTTTTTTTTTTTTAATAGGAGTAGACACTAGCAAGCTGGATAAAATAATCATTTTGTTAAACACGATCTAGGGACTGTTGCTGATTACTACCGTACTTTTCTTGTGTGATTCTTAACACTATAGCACAAGTATTATCTCACTGGAGTCTCTGGAGTAACATCTAAAAGATGGATGGGTTCATCTCTGTGTTTGCTTTTTAAACTATTATGTTTTTCCTACCCAAGTTGGCTTTGCATCTATTAAATAAATTCTCCAGCTGCCTTATTAGGAGTATTATGAGGGTAACAACACCTTTTCTGCTTTTCATCTTGTATTTAGTTTACTGTATTAGGTATTTGATTTCAGATTGAATGACTGTAAATAGAAATTAAATGCAAATTTGAATGAACATAAAATAGAAGTCATTTTTTATTACTTTAAAAGAAGTAATTTAGTGTACATATCAAGTATACAGTTTTTTTTTCATTAACATGTCAGATGTGTCCAGGTTCTCATATTTAATAAACTACTTATGTATATAAGGAATGACAATTGTAAAACTTTCTGCTGAGAAATTGAAGCTTTTAAAATATATAAGACTTTTAGTATTTTTCTATATAGTAAGCCTGCCTTGCAGATTTATTATATGTAGTTTTAACCAGGTACAGTTAAAAAAACATAATTTAAAAAGCCAAGAAATTTCAAAATCAAAAATGTTAAATTCTTAAGCACACATTACACAGTTCAGTTGATGTGGAAAAGCTTTTAGTTCCACATTACTGTCAGTTTTGTTTAAATCATTGTGCAATCTGCCACGTTTCCCTGTTTTTGATTTTGTGAACATACACCTTCCAAAAAGCAAATAGTACCCCAAAAGGTAAAAGTGAATGTGCTTAATTGAAATGATAAGGTGAAAATTGTGGATTTGTTGAAAGAGCAGTGTCTAGCGTTAGTTGGGCTGAGTTTTTGGGAAAAATGAATTGGGCATCTACAGAACTCTATCGCAGAGGCGGTATCAATTTTTCCTCTTGAACTCTGTGCTTACAGATACCAAGGTCTACCATAGTAGATATTAAATCTTTCATTTTCCACTTACGTATGTCAGATCGTTGACTGAGATTTTTTGCTTTTTTAAAAAGCTCATGGAACAAGTTATGTGGAAGCTAACTTCAAATAAAAACATTAGGAATACCTTCTTGTACTAAAATCTGTTCAGCCACACTTCTCAATGGCCTTTGATAAATTAACATGTATGCACAAAATATAATGAACAAATTTAATGTGTCATAGCTAGTGGAACATTTTGGATAAACACATATCTATAGGCATTTATATCACACTTGCCAAGGTGTACGGAAGCTGTCCAACTGAGATTACATTTTTATAAAATACAGTAGCATCTCGTGTGTGTGTGTGTGGTGGTGGTGGGTAACACTGGGGATTGAACCCAGACCCTTGTGGGTGATAGGCAAGAGCTACAGTGATGAGCTCTATCCCCAACCCCTGATAGCATATCTTAATGATGGTGCAGTCATCTCTTAGAGGGTATGATCTGAATTCACAGAATATTAGGGTTTGGGGAGCTATGTTCCCCTATCTTTGAGGTGAAAGAATAGAAGGTAGTAGGAAATGCTTCTGATTCATCATTAGTGATAATGGATGGCATAGCCTCCTATCATTTTCCTTTTTCAGTTCATTGTCTTCCAGAAATCCCCACCAACTGTCTACCTCTAAGAAACAAAGCTGTCTGAATGAATAGTCACTAGATAACTAGGTATGTAAACAGGTATCATAATAGGGCTGAAAGCCAGTCTTGTGTCTAAACAGGAAGTCATTTCAGTTGAATCTCAGGCAAATTTTAATCCCAAATTGCTTTTGTTACCCATCCCTTGCCTTACACCTAAAAAATCACAACTAAACTTCACCACAAAGCCAGAAAGGTGATTTAAGGCCAAGCAAACTTGTTTAAATATTTGCAATGATTCTCCAAGTTGGTAAAAGTGAAATATATTGTGACTGAATGAAGAGAAATAGTTACATATATAAATTGGTAGTATTTACCTGAGGGAAAAAAGTTATAGGTTTCCTAATGTTTGTCAATTTGTGTTGTTATGCAGGCATGAAAGTAACTTCACCTATAATCAGGTGATCATCATCATTATTAATCCTTGTGCTGGTTTAGCCTGTTTTATTTGTGCTGCAAATTTGTTTTCTGTCTCTCCCTCTCAACTTCTCTTTTTTTTCCTTGTTACAAACTGATAGATGATAATAAAGAAACAGGCAAGAGCCTTACAATCTAAATTAAGATATATCCAGTAGCTCCAAAACTTTTCTGGAGATGACAAGTTATAAGGGCTTTTTTTCTTTCTTTCTTTTTTTTTTTTTCAGTGATGCTGAGGATTGAACCTAGGGTACATGGTGGGCAAACACTCTACCATTTACTGCCTCCCAGCATTTAGGTGAATTATTTTAGTAGTTCAAGATATTCCATGATACTACAAAAAAAGCAAGCTTGTGAAAACTGAAGGTGATGCAGGAAGCATGCATGAGGTCGGTCACAAAATGAATTTAAATCATTTATTCTCAGTAATCATACTATAGAGAATAATACAATATTAAAATATATTATCCTCAGTAAATTAATCTTAGAAGAAGATGTGTTTGTTACAGATAAAATACAGCATTTAGAATTTTCATTTAAAAATACAAATTTTATGAAAATTTTAAACATTTTTAGAATGGGAATTATAAAAGTCAGTGCTGAAGAAAATTCTTTCAGATAATGTATCTTAAAATATTATGAAAAATATTATTTATTCTGAAAACAGTACCCCTTTAAAATCATCTAGTTTCTAATTATTGTTTTGGTAACATCAAGAAAACACATTTACACTTGAAACACTGCATAAAAGAAATGTTGCATATTCATTAGGTTGAATGCATATTTTTTTAAAACACAGATCTTTCATTTAATCTTTTCAGAAATTGGGATTACACAAATAAGTCTTACAATATTCTAAAACCATCTGGAAACATTTTTCTTCTAGTCCTGAAAACCCATTCTACTGCCTTTATCAGTAGTCACTATAACCAAATGAAATTGTGGTCTTAATACAAGTTAATATATTTGAAGATGTAATGAAGTGGCTCCATCTTTCCATTTGTTTATACGATCTGAAATCACGGTTCTGCACAATGGACATGTTTTCTCTCTGTTAAACCATAAGGTAATGCATTCTTCACAAAATATATGCTGTAAGGGAATTCAGAACAAAATTTCATACTTGCATAAACATTTTATAGTTCATATTGTAGAGAAGTAGTCTTTAAAGTTCAAATGGACTTTGGAGAGCACATTTTACAAATGATCATACATTTTACAAATGAGAAAATGGAGAAAGTATGACTCATTTAAGACGACAAAAGAATGGCTTTAATGATAGAGCCTATAGTATCTTTTTAAATCTGACATCCATTTAACCATTGCTAACAAAATATAAGCTATCTCTAAATGACACTTAAAATTCTTAAGTATGATGGTTTAACAGCTTAATAACGTCTGAGTTATGTGTAGAAAGAGTGCCTTACACATTCCAATAACAAATGTTGGTACTGTTCTGTAAGACTAGTATCCAACTACAAAAATAGCCTGCTTTCCAATCACTTTGGTATCCAATCTGCCAGCTGAATTATTTTTTCCTGTTCATATACTCTGCATAAAAATCACCAGAACATAAGGGAGATGATTAAGCCAATGTAGCAAACCCCTCATCAAGAATAAATTATTGCTATGTACTTGGAATGCTACCTTCCACGAAATATTACAGGTTTTTTTTTCCCCTGCCACATAACAAACATAAATGTGACTTTCACAAGTCAAAGAAAAGGGCTGTATTCAATCTGCTTAAAAATATAATTACCTGACAGATGAGAAGAATTGGCTTCTGAAATTCAGCTTGACATATTGAACAAATATCTTCCACATCTGAGCACTGTCTCTTGCTGGCAGCCACTCCGTAACTCTATGAAAGACAAATTCTCTTCAGCTACAAATTTCTTTTTTTCTTTTTCTTAAATACATAGGTGATGCTGAAATTTCACAGCTAAACCACATGTGCAAAACCAAATCTTGATTGCATCAAGGTGAAATTATTAAATACATAATGTGATCATGGAAGATTATTAAATCTACTGAATTCACAAATGATGATAGTGCTTCAAATTCAACACAATTAGCTTAAGAGGTTAAGCAATCTGAGATTTAACTATTATAAAATCTAAGTTGATGTATATTACCTAGGATTGCCAAATTGAGCCTACTTATTACCTGTGGCAATGATTCATAAAGGCAGTCCATAGCTTGGCTTGTTAAATGTAATTCATGTGGAGAGCTTCCTTTAAAAATAGGTGACTGGTGCTACAGCCAGTGCCCCACACCTGTAATCCTAGTTACTCAGGAAGCAGAGATCAGTAGGATTGCAGTTTGAAGCCAACCCAGGCAAATAGTTCATGAGACCCTATTTTGAAAATACCCATCACGAAAAGGCCTGGTGAAGTGGCTCAAGTAGTAAAGTGTGCCTAGCAAGTGTGAGGCCCTGAGTTCAAACCCCAGTACTGGAAAAAAAAAAAAAAACAGGGCATAGTATTGCACACTTATAATTTCACTTTAGGAGGATCATAAGTTTGAGGCCCACACATGCAAAGGTAGTGTAAGACCCTGTCTCAAAAACAAAAGGGCTGGGGGTATAGCTCAATTAGTAGAGCACTTGCCTAGCAAGACCCTGGGTTCCATTCCCAGCACTGTGCCAAAAAGACAAATCTATATTACACACTGAGGATTGATTTAGTAGGCCCAGACATTAAGTATTCCAGATGAAATATGACCCAGTTCAATATGAAGGTATGCAGACCACTGACCATCACTAAATCTAAAAATAATTTTTACTACTAAGCCTGGTGTGGTGGTATATGCTTGTAATCTTAGTAATCAGGAGGCTTAGTTGGAAATCTGAGGCTAGCCTTGGCTATATAACAAGAGCCTGTCTCAGGGAAAAAAATAATTGCAAAATATCACTGGGATAGAGTATTGTCAAAACTTAACTGAATGAACACTAACGCATTTCTTTAAATTTTCTTTTATTCTGAAGTCATAAACATTTCTGATCTATTTAAAATTTCCACCAAATTAAGCAGTGACAGTTAACACTCAGTGAAATTTGGAAGAATTAAAATGTTACAAGTAAGATCAGCTTTCTGTAGAAATGATGGGGAAAAGTTGGCTAAGAATACCAAACACAGTCATAGGAACAGAGGTAAAGCAGGACTTTTCTCAGCACATCTGAAGTTATGATCTAAACTTCTTGAACTAAATAGGTTGGGCTAACAAACTAAAACTGAAAGGATAAAAATATTAAAAATGAAGATTGAGACTGATGATATTAAAGATTTCAGAAATAAATCAGGATTCTGTTAGGTGATCTTGGTACAATTTCCCTTTCATTTAGCAGGGTATGTTAGACATTTAAGCTGACAAACTTTTTTTCTTTTTTTTTTGGCAGTACTGAGGTTTGAACTTGCAGCCTCACACTTTCTTGAGTCACTCTACCAGCTCTCTGACAAGCTTTTTAAAGCATCACTTTTGTCTGGCATTCTGTAGACTCCCTTTAGGTGAGGACTCATCCTGATGGTTATTGCTGCCATTCCCTTGGTAAAGTTAAAGAACATGTTCAGGACCTGTTGGTGAAACTCAAGAATAAATCAATGTCAGTAACATATTCTCTCTGTACTTCCATACTTTGTCTCACAGTGATGCAGATAAGAGGGTTTTCTTTCTTTTTTCTTCAGTGCTGGGGACTGAACCCAGGACATCACATGTGCTAGGCAAGTGCTCTATCTCTGTTGTATACCTCTAGCTCACAGGCCATTTTCTAAAGGGTATTTCAGCACAAAGCTTACTGTATCAATTAACTTGGACAAAACTAAACTCTGAATTTTATTGTATCTTCTCTAAAGAAAGGAGAAGGCTGCATAAGATACAGCAAAACTTATTTCGATATTGATTACTCTTAGAGAAAGGTCTTCCGCCAGTTAGTCTTCTAAACAATCTTTTTTTACTTTTAACAGTAGTTTCTAGGTGGGTGGTACTGGTCAGTCAGTCCCTTAGAGTCTAGACTGTTTAAGGACCATTAGGACTACAAAGCTATAGATTAAGCCCTGAAATCTGGTGACCATACCTCAGTACTAGGAGGCTACCAAATAGTAAATATTTCACTATGATACTCTCTCTACAATTTGTAACATGTATAGAATCACAAAATAATCAAGTTTCGAATTGATAATGCAGTCTCAATTGTTAAATTCCATGCTGTGAAATCATTTGTGCATAAAGAATTGTGTTTGAGGAAACTGCTCCAGTAAGAAAATGAAAGGGAATGGGGTTTTTTGTTTGGTTTTTGCAATACTGGGGTTTGACCTTGGGACCTTGAGAGCTTGCACGGCAGGTGCTCTACTACATGAACCACCACCCCAACCTTAAGAGGCATGATTTTTAGTGGTGAGCTTTCCTCCATTACAGTAGAAGCATTTTCACAGAAGCCAAATAGGGCATTAGTGGAAATACACTAACTCAACATTTATAGGTTAAAAGAGGAAAAGGAACAAAAATTCATGACAAGACTTTTAAAAGTAGTATTTATAAACTCATAAAAATGATGAATGGTTTGAAAGGGTAAACAGACATTCAAATACATACACATTGTAGTAATTAGTGGGTGGTTGTCAATGTACAATTTTAAGAAACTGACCACAGAACTAAAATTTCTAAATTACTACAGCCCCAAGTGCCAAAGTTTTAGAAAACAATCTCAAAAGAAAAATATCATCTCATGAAATCTACACTTAGAAAACTGCTAACCTATAGCCTGGCCCAAAAGACCAAAAATCGTATGTCCTCCCTCATATGTGGACATTAGATCAAGGGCAAACACAACAAGGGGATTGGACTATGAGCACATGATAAAAGCGAGAGCACACAAGGAAGGGGTGAGGATAGGTAAGACACCTAAAAAACTAGCTAGCATTTGTTGCCCTTAACGCAGAGAAACTAAAGCAGATACCTTAAAAGCAACTGAGGCCAATAGGAAAAGGGGAACAGGTACTAGAGAAAAGGTTAGATCAAAAAGAATTAACCTAGAAGGTAACACCCACACACAGGAAATCAATGTGAGTCAATGCCCTGTATAGCTATCCTTATCTCAACCAGCAAAAACCCTTGTTCCTTCCTATTATTGCTTATACTCTCTCTCCAACAAAATTAGAAATAAGGGCAAAATAGTTTCTGCTGGGTATTGGGGGGGGGGAGAGGGAGGGAGCGGAGTGGGTGGTAAGGGAGGGGGTGGGGGCAGGGGAGAGAAATGAACCAAGCCTTGTATGCACATATGAATAATAAAAGAAAAATGAAAAAAAAAAAAAACTGCTAACCTAAAAAATTTTTATAATGAAGAAAGGTGAAAGTATTTTTCCTTAACTGATAAAAATTACTTACTGGTCGTGTAAAAAATATTCGCAGAACCTGTCTGAAAGCTCTCAGATGTCCAAAAAAGTCCAAAAGCTGAAAGAGGAAGTAATTTATTAATTCAAAGAGCCCTATCTGCTAAACCTAAAACCAAAACTCACTGCATATCACAGGTAATTATTTTATTAAAATATATTTCAAGTCTAGCTATTAAATATTTATAAATTTGAGCCAACTCTTAAGAGGAAGTCCATTTAAGTACTTTAAATTTTTAAAGTATTGAATATTATAATACTGAAATTTGATTAAGATAAATCTATGTCAAAGACAAAACAATTTTGTCTGATTAACACGTTCTTTAGCGTTTGGATCTGAAAATTTCATAATGTGATAAGTTGAAAGGGATTAGGCATAAAGGGAGCAGGACAAGATGCTCCCCATCACGTGTAAGACAAATAGTACTACTGAGGAATGCTTTTTTCTATTCCACTTGTTTATCCCCCTTAGATAATCCATGATATGTGGAGGTCCACTTCTCTTGTCTTCAGTAAAAACTTAGAACTATAGCCTGGTATGGTTATAGGTGCTTGTAATCTCAGCCTCTTGGAGGCAGGAGGATCACAAATTAAAGACCAGCCTGGGCAATGAAGCAAGAACCCATTTCAGAAAAATAAGCAAGGCTGGGTGAGGTAACTTATACCAATTTTCCCAGCTATTCAGGAGTTGGATATAAGATCATCAAAATTCAAAGCCAGCCTGGGCGAAAAGAATTGAGGGTGTGGCTCAAGTGGTACTGTGCCTGGCTAGCCAGTGCTAAGCACTGAGTTCAAACCCCAGTCCTGCCCCTACCCCCGCAAAAAAAAACAAAAAACTGAGAACCTCTGGATTTCTATTTTGCCATCCTTTTTTACCTTTTTATTTATTTTTTTGAGACAGGTTTTTGCTGTGTTGCCCAGGCTGGCCTTAAACTCATGATCCTGCCTAGCCTCCCAAGCAACTAGGATTAGAGGTTCATGCTTTCATACCCAACTCCCCACTTCTAAACAGATGCAGAACCTGCCATTCATGCAAACTAGTGATTCAAAGATAAACTTCAAGACAATTAAGGAAAGAAGTAGTAGTATATAAAGTCAGTAATCACCATTACATGAATCATTATGCCATGACCAAGATTTATAATGCTACTTACTTTTAGTATGAGGTAGAGCAAAGCCAGCAATATCCCAAGATTCCATCTAGTTACATTACCAAACTCCCCATAGCTTATAAGGTAACGAAACCAAACTGGCATGGGAACAAAAGTTCGGTAGTACTGACTTAACTCTTCCAAAAGCATATACCAGTAACCCTAAGAGAAAGGAAAAAGAGAGAACTACCAAACTACTCAAAGCCATAGCTCAGAAAACATGACTGTGTGGTACACTAATACAAAACTATGAAATTACACTCTTCATAGTGATTATGACTAACAATTTCAACCTGATTCTTACATATTAGTCACTACACAGTTTGATTTCAGTGAGGTTTTTTTGTTGTTTTTAATGCATTGCCGGGGATTGAACCCATGTTTGAGATCTTGCTAAGGGCTAGCCTCAAACTCAAGATCTTCCTGCCTCGGCCTCTGCCTCCAGAGTAGCTGGGATTATGGGCATTTCTAAAGAATGATATAGTGAAAATTTTTTTACTCGTTTTTACATTTACTTACATGTATATACACTGTTTATACCACCTCTTCCCTCCCTGTGAAAATGTTTTATATAGGGCTAGGGGCATGGTTCAAGAGGTAGAGTGCTTGAGACCGAGTTCAAACTCCCCCCCCCAGTTTTCTGTACACTACAATTTTATGGTTTTGCTGATTGTAAAAATTTATAGTAAAGTTTTCACCACGTATGGGAAGCCATTTTATATAGTCAGTTGTCAATTGATAATGCCCTAGCAGAGAAACAGAAGTACAAATCTAGTATTTTCTCATATATGATGTGGGGATTGATTTTTTTCAATTATTATGAAACAAATATAATTCTGATTTTATCCAAATAGGTTAATATTTTGGTTCAAATCCTTGAGTAAACAGTTGCTGGGCTGAGATAATAAAGGTAATCAAAACTAGGTTGTTTAGCAAACCAAAATTTATAAAAGACAAATGAAGAGTACATAGCATTGATGTGGTTTCCTAACATTCCAATAAAGCACAAGCTAGTTTCTCACCTTTGATTTAAAAGGCATGATGAAAGAAGGCACCAGTAAAATAAGGCATTTTAAGCCCATGAAGAGGAATTTCAGAATGAAGTCTGTAATTCCAACAATCCAAAGTACTTCCCAGAAGCTCAAACGATCCAATGTAGGATTTAAGAAAATTAAGCTACCAAGAGAAAAACATCAAAATTTAATAGAACAACATACAAAGATAAAGTCTTGAAACGGATATTTAAAATTTGCTACAAATATTTTACTTTAACTTGATATGTAAAAAAGCTGAGTGTGGCAAGATAATTAAGTACAAATAAGTGGAATCGAATTTTGTTTTTTTGTGGGACTGGGGTTTGAACTCAGGGTTTTGTGCTTACAAAGCAGGTACTCTACTGCTTGAGCCACACCTCCAGTCCATTTTGCTTTTGGGGTCTCAAGAACTATGCCTGGGCTGGCCTTGAACCACAGTCCTTCTGATCTCAGCCTGCTAAGTAGCTAGGGTTACAGGCATGAGCCACTAGGGCCCAGCCTTTACTTATTTTAAAGGTACTTTTCAAATGTCTGAATTTCAGATCTTCCTTTCACAGATTAAAAAAAAAAAAAGTCTTCCTAGCTTATCATCGCTGACACTTTCCTAGACTTTTTTTCCAAGGTGCAGGGGATCAAATTCAGGACCTCATGAATGCTAGGTAAACACTCTACCACTGAGATATATCCACAGCTCACTTTCTAGACTTCTAACCCCTTACTCTCCTAGTGGCTCTCATATGTCACAGATGGTTTCTTCTTAGTCTTTGCTATTCCTTAATTGTGGTTGTGTTCGGGACTAGTCCTCTTTTCTCCTTTCTTTGCCTGGTTAGTTGTGTCCAGTCCTGTAATTTTTTTTAAATATCAACCATATATATGCTTATAGCACCAAAATTTATAGCCCTAGCCTCTGCTGTGAGCTCAAGTCATACAAAGAATGACCTAACAATTCTATTTGGCTTTTCATATTAAACATGTTCAAAACAAATATATTAATTTTCTTTCCCCATCCAATAAACTGCCACCCACTATCCAACCATTTGCTTAGACTAAACCTGAGAGGTCATTATTGCTACCCAACCCAATCTAATCCATGAGTGTATTTCTCCACCTTTATAAACCACATCTCAGATATGTCCATATCCCCAATTTCACTGATTAGTATTTCTAATTATCTGATTAAAGCTAAAAATTCAGAATACTCCCATCTGATATGAAAACTAATCACCTACTATCTTTTAGTAACCATTCTCCTTCTAGAAACAAAAAGCCTAATAACCACCTAATGATACTTAATACTGATTAAGCAAAAAAGTCAGTTATCAAAAAAATTACTGGTTTGGAGGTGTGGTAGAGCACTTGCCTAGCAATTGCAAGGTCCTGAGTTCAAACTCCAATACTGCCAAAGGGAAAAAAATACTTACTGAACACCTGCTATGTGCCATGGCACTGGGGATGTAAGTCTAAATCACTTAAATCATGAAAAGGGGACAGGTGAAAATTGAACTATAATACTACAAGCATTACGTACAGGTAAGGTTAATGCAAACTACTACTATGGAATAGATAATTATATAAAAGATGTGTACTTGAATCTCTAATTACCTGTAATAAAGAGACTGAGAATGAAAGGTATAATATAAAAGAACAGAAGATCCTGCTAAGAATACCAGTAGCCAAGCACACTGAATCTTTGAGGACCTTTCCTGAAAAATAAAGAATTTTATAATTTGTTACTTTGAATTATGCCAGAATTCAAATGTCACTAAACCTTTAATTCAATGACTGACTTTTTAGCTTAGAATGCTTTTTTAGTAAAAAATACAAGATATGTTAAGTTATACATCATCATCACAGTCACTGTTTTATGTATCTGTAGTGAATAAAACAACTCATATTTAAGCTAATTTTAAAAATACAGTTTCTTCACTGTAAGAAAAACATGTTTCAGTGAAGCCAAGTTCCACAGACTGATGTAAGGAACCTATCCAAGGTAAACTTCAGCTCTGCAGCTCCCTTTTCTGTGCTGCCTCCACAAAACAGAATTTCAAAAATACACTTCAAGCTGGGGCACCGGTGGCTCATGCCTGTAATCCCACCTACTCAGGAGGAGAGATTAGGAGGATCATGGTTCGAAACCAACCCCGGGCAAATAGTTCATAAGACCGTATCTGGAAGAAACCCATCACAAAAGGCTGGTAATGTGGCTCAAGGTGTAGGCCCTGAGCTCAAATCTCAGTACCACAAAAAAAAAAAAATGCACTTAAGTAAATCAGAATTTATAAATATTGAGTAATTTATTTTTAATCTTTTAAATTCAAGTTTTATTACTAGCTTAATAGAAAGTTTTACGGGTTGAGCATCCTTATCCAAAAATCAAAAATCCCAAATAGTCCAAAATCCCAAACTTCTTAAGCACTGAGAAGCCCCAAGTGGGAAATTCCACAACTGATCTTAAATCACAATCAAAACACAGATGCGTTAAAAATATTGCATGTGCTGGATGCTGGTGGCTCATGACTAATCCTAGCTACTCAGGAGGCAGAGATCAGGAGGATCGCAGTTTGAAGCCAGCCTGGGCAAATAGTTCAGGAGACCCTATCTCGAAAACACTTAGCACAAAAAGGGTTGGTGGAGTGGCTCAAGGTGTAAGCCTTGAGTTCAAGCCCCAGTACTGCAAAAGAAAAGAAAAAAACAAGTACTGCATGACACTGGGCACCAGTGGCTCATGCCTGAAATCCTAGCTATTCAGGAGGATGGAGGTTAGAAGCCAACCCCAGGCAAATGGTTCACAAGACCCTATCTCAAAAAAACCCATCACAAAAAAAGGTTGGTGGAGTGGTTCAAGGTGTAGGCCCTGAGTTCAAGCCCCAGTACCACCAAAAAAAAAAAAAAAAAAAAAAAAACCTGCATGAAATTACCTTTGGGCTGTGTGTATAATGTGTATATAAGACATAAATGAATTCTATGTTTAGACTTCAGTTCCATCCTCAAGATATCCTGTACACACAAATATTCCACAATCTGAAACATTTCTGGTTCCAAGCATTGCATATAAAGGATATTCAATCTGTATTAATTTAAACCATGAATTAAATTTTTTGTTGCTCAATAGGTTATACTTTTACATGGATATAAGCCTTCCCTTGAAAGGGCCTTAAGGTGAAATTTTATAAACACTATTTTGCCCAATGATTTACATGGCTGAGACACTTAGGTTAGAGAAAAACTTTTTGAAATTAATTTTCTGCAACTAAGACCTACATTTTATCCAGTTATTTTAAATCTTATAGTGTATCAAAGTTTTCAAAGAAATTACTTAGCATATTCACAAAACATAAAGGCTCTTGCTAAAAAACAGATCACATAGTGTGATCTAACCCTTTTAATACTTCTATGTTTTATTAGGAAACAAACATACAAAGAAAATAAGGTGAAGCAATTCAGGATTAGGACAGGTCATTTATATAACTAAGTATGTCATGGATATTACAACATAACCTACTACTTCATATTTCTCTCAGAATTATTTCTCTGTGATTTTAGAGAGAAATGGTTAATAATTTTAGTTGCTTATTATACTTACTCTTAGAAAAACCTGATTTACAATGCTTTTGTTTGCATACATAAAAGTTGTTAGCAGCGCAATTCCAAGAGAAATTCCTGTTAGAAAATAAGTTCCAGTTAATTGAAAGAAAAAAAAAAACAAAGCTGACTATATAAGCTAAAAATAACATGAATTAAAAGGAAACAATTTAAAAACCTAACAGAAAATAAGTAACTGAAATGCATAGGTTAAAGTAGATAACTAATAAAGAAAATTAACTGAATTTAGCAATTAAGTCAGTGTTTTATTATGCCCTACCTGTTATATGCTGCATAACAAGTTTGACACCCAGAATCAAAATATAAGGAAGACTTTTTTGCAACCACTTGAAAAGATAGCGGAATTCTGAGAAGGAGCTACTTCCATGCTCTCCAGACTCCATGGCCATATCATCAAGCTGCCTTGCTTCACTGTGGGAGTGGCTCCGGAAACGACTATGTGCACATCCATGGGTACAGCTATGGACACCTGACCTTGTAATTCTGGAGCCTGGATTTTCAGCATATTCTTTAGGTATGGAGTTCATCTGGATATGAACATCTCCAGAATGAAGACAAGAACCTTCTGTTGATCTAGATGTGTGGACACACTGGGAGACTGAGGCATCCTCTCCACTTGCTATTCCTGGAGGACTGTGCAGTTGGTTACAATTGGCCTGCATGGCCCTTGAATACTTTTTCTCTGATCCAGATGTCTTTGCTTCAAGGCTCTATCTCCTAAAAACAAAAAACAAAACAAAAAGCAGAAAATATTCTAAGCGAATGGTTAAATACAGCCAGTACATTGCTCAGGAGTACATTGCTTTATTCGCTAAAAGCGTGGTGGATAGTCAGAGATGAGTTTTCAGGTCATCTAACACTTCATTGCTGGACTCCTTCCTCCTCCCTTAATGCCAGGCAATGCACTGTCCTATACAAATTATCTTTCAGGGAACATTTGCTACCCAAAATTGCTAAGCTTCAAATGCCTCCACTTCTATAACGCCAGAAGGCACCAGCAAAACAGTCGTAGAGTATGGGTGCCCAGCAGATGTAGTATGAATACTAATGCTCCGCGCTGAATGCGTTCAACATTCACTCTGCGCCCAGCTGAAGTACATTCCACATCAAAGAAGCAGACGCTTCATAAGAAAGTTTTCATAGGGCTGGGAAGAAGAAAACACATTAAATCTCAATGCTTTATTAAGTATCATCACCGATAACTAATAATAAACATCTCACTTGGGTGATCTACACATTTCATTTTATGCTGAAACAGCTTCCCCAAAGCTAGTAAGGTTTTCAGTAATCAATGATGCTACCAAGAAAATATTACTTCTGTCAAAGGAACAGTTCGTAAACACTTTAAAATAGGCATATTGGGGGATTCCCCGTGTAATTGCTAGGTGATGCTTTACTCTGAACAAATGGCAGCGTGGGTGCTGGGGGGAAGGGAGGAGTGTCAGGCCGCCAGCTGGGCAGGTCCCCAGGGACACCGACTGCCGCGCCCCGGGTCTCCAGGAGGAGGCCAGAGTCGGCGGCGGCACGGTCCGCCCGGGCGTGAGCAGGGCAGTGAGTGTGGCGGCTTTCGCCGAGCCTCCGACGCCACGGGCGCTATTGCTGCCTCGACTCCCCGAAGAGCGACTCCGGACAGGGCAGCGTGTGGGTCTGTAAATACGGACAGAGCCCTCCCGCCCTCCTCCACGCGCAGGCGAGAAGACGACAGCCGCCGCCACCAACTCTTCCGGAATCTCCGGGAACACTTGTCCACCCACGTCCGAGCCTCCGCGCGGGAGGCTCAGCCGTCCTCCCCGAACCCTCGGCGCCGCCACCCTGCCTGCTCCCCCAGGCCTGACCTCTCATGACCAGCAGCGGACGGCAGCCTCAGCAGCGACCGCGAGAACAGCCGCACTCTCCGCCCGCAGCCCTTCGGCCAGAGCCATCCACCTCAGCCCCAGCACCAGCGACTCCGCGCGACCCCAACCTCCCCGCGCGCGCGCGCGCCCGTGGCCACCCCCGCGCTGCGAAAGGGGACGTGTGCGCGGACAGTACGTCACCGTGACGCCGTGCGTACGTGCGTGGTCCGCCTCCAAGCCACAGAGCCGGGGCAGTAGACGTTAAAATGGGTTGCCTCTGGTCGCATGCCTTCGGGGACCGCGCTCGTGTTCCGGGCCCTGGTCGGGTAGCTTCGGCGGGAGCGCGGACGTCGCCGGACAGCGGGGCCGGGCGGGCGAGAGCCGCGGGCTTTCTGGGGTTGGGGTTCGCGAGCGGGACTCGACCCATTTGGGTGGCTGGGCGGTGAAGTTTGAGCTGGATTGACTTTTCCAGAATCTGAAGTCCGGAGTGCTGGAGAGTTTGCCTGAGCTAGAAGGAAATGAAAAACCCTGTCCTCTGTGCGCTGCGGGGCACTCTACTGTCCGCGCCATGACCCTGTTACCTCCAAAGTTGCTCTGAAAAAGGTCGTTAAGGGGGAAAGAGCTTTAACGAAAAGGAAAAAAAAACCCCTTTCTTATAATCCAGGACATAAGGTTATTTTTAATGTTTTTGAGCGCATTCCATGCGTGTCCCCCACACCTGCCTTCCTATTCTGAACTGCAGGCTTCTGTCTTTCCCCTCGTGTTGATGAACTCAGCCTCACGCTTGCTAGGCGGACGCTCTACCACTCGAGCCTTGCATCAGGCTCACTTGGGCCGCTCCGCCTCCCGATCTCTCCTGATCTCTGCATCCTGAGTGGCCAGGATTACAGGCGTGCACTACCAGCTCTCGGCTTCCTAAGTTTTTTGACAAGTTAGATTTCTGGGTCAGTAAAGCTGAGGGACAGGGTTGGACTGTAGTGAGCTTTCCAGGGAAATTTTTTTGCATATATTCTACCAATCGAACTACATTAATGTTTTTATTTTAAACTTTAAAATGTATGAGAAGTTAGGAAATAGGGAAAAAAAAGATTCAATCTCACATTATCCAGCTACAGCCATAATGGATCGAGTATGTTTTAGTACATTTATAATTTTGGAACATTAGGTACATTTGTAAATTTAGTAGACCTAATGTTACAATTCTCATTTTTAACAGATTGGTAACACACTGAAGGCACATCTATACATACCGGAAGTTTATTAGTCCATTTCATTCAAATAACACGACTAAAAGGAAGCATTTGAAGAAAGGCCCTGAGTTTATATTTGACTTGGTGACAGACTGTTCTCTGGCAAATTCCCACTGGCATCTGGCATGTTGAAAATGGACATTTTAACTTTAATGCATTAATTCAAAAAGCTTTTGTTGAGGACTTATATCAAAAAATGTACTAGATACTGGAGAGATAATATAAGAGATGTGGTCCTTAGCCCACAATAAAGTAAGTGGTTAGACAGGTCTGCAAACAAATAATCACAGTGTATCAGAGTAAGCACTATAATTGGAGGTTGTTTGAGACGCAATTTCTTAACTTCTTTAAGAGGTAGGACCTTTTAATTTTGTCAGGCAGGAAGCAATTAAATGCATGGCATTTGAGATAAAGGCTGAAGAACACTTCGAAATTCACCAGGACACAAACAACAACAGGGCATTGCAGAGAGAAACATTTGGAGGAAAGTCATGGTATGAAATACCATGGCCCTTTAAGGACTTAGTTTTTCACTTTTGGGAAAAGTAGGGTGCATAGGAGGGAATAGGAAAGAAGAGACCAGTAAGCAGGGCAAGAAAATGAAAGACTGTCATCCTCACCTGGTTCATTCTATAGTTCCTTCTAGTAGCCAAAGGAAAGCTATTTAGTCTTAAGCAGTAGTTTTCTGCATTTTGCAGAAAATTCGCATACTAGTAAGAGTATAGTAATGCAAGCTGAATTAGCAGACTACTGGAAGCTCAGGTAGGTGCTGGGTAGGTCTTTATCTGTGAATGGAGTTCGAGAGGAAGCTTGAGATGGAGAGGTGGTAAGGCGACAGAATGAAAAGGATTAAATATGGTAGGCTATTGAGGTGACGCACCCTACCCCCAGGTTTTGTTTGTTTGATTTTTGCGGTGCTGAGGTTTGAACTCAGGCCTACACCTTGAGCCACTCCACCAGCCCTTCTTTTTCTTTTTAAAATTTTTATTGTTTTATTATTCATATGTGCATACAATGCTTGGGTCACTTCTCCCCCCTGCCCCCACCCCCTCCCCACCAGCCCTTTTTTATGAAGGGTTTTTTTTGAGACAGGATCTCAAAAACCATTTGCCCGGGCTGGCTTCAAACCTCGATCCTCCTGATCTCTGCCTCCTGAGTAGCTGGGATTACAGGTGTGAGCCACTGGTGCCCGGCCTTTATGTTTAAATTGTAATAAAATGCATGTAACAAAATTTATCATTTTAACATTTTAAGTGTAGTGTTAAGTATATCTATACAGTAAACCCTTGGTATCTGTAGATCTGCGGTTGAAAGGAGACCACTGTGGGAAAACCTGAGAGTACTCGGGATGTATAGTGCTGTGTTATGCACGCTCAATTCATTTTTTCCAGAATCACCCAACTTCTACTACCTTTCAACAAATCTAAAATTTTCACATCCTCACTTAAGCACATTCACTTTTACCTTGTTTAGGGGCACCATTTGCTTTTAGGGAGGCAGATTTTCACAAAATTAAGGGCAGGAAAACACTCAGCAGATCACACAGCCATTTAAACTGACAATAACATGGTACTAAGCTTGTCTGCATCAGCTGAGATGCATATCACATGCATAGAGATTTAAAATTTTTGTTTCTGAAATTTGTTTTTTTTAAATAATTTTTAACTGCACTTGGAAAACAATCACATGTAATAAATGTGCGAATAAGGCAGATTTACTATGCTGTTATACAGTGAATCTCCAGAACTGTTTCATTTTGCAAAACCAAAACTCTACTCATTAAATAATTCCCATTTTTTCTCTCCCAGAACCGTTGGCAAATAGCATTCTACTTTCCGTTCCTATGTATTTAACAATTCCAAGTACCTTAGATGAGAGGAATCTCTGTGATGGCTTATTTCACTTAGCATAATTTCCTCAAGGTCATCCATATATAAGCATGTGCCAGACTTTCCTTCCTTTTTAAGACTGAATAATATTCCATTGTATGTATATGCCACATTTTCTTTACACATTGACCTGCCAATGGATACTCCCGTGCTGTGAACACAAACATACAAATATCTTTTCAAGACCCTGATTTCGATTCTTTTGTATATATACCCACAAAGAGAATTGCTGGATCATATGATAATTCTGTTTCTAATTTTTTGAGAACTGCCATACTCTCCCTGATAGTGGCTGCACCATTGTGCATTTCCACCAACAGTGTCCAGGGCTCTAGTTTGTCTACATTTTTGCCAAACCTGTTATTTTCTGGGTGTTTATTACTTTGATTTAGCCATCCTAATGGTGTAAGGTGAGATCTCATTGTTTTGATTTGCAGTTCTCTGATGATTACTGATGAAATCCAGGGATGTTGACAGCCTCTAGAAGCTGAAAGAAGGCAAGGAATGAATTCTGCATTGAGCCTCAGAAAGAAAGCAGTCCTGCTACTGACCCTTGTTAAATTTCAGACTTCTGGGCTTCAGAACTGTGAGAGAATAAATTTCTGTTATTTTAAACCACAAGTTTGTTGTAATTTAACAGCATTCAAGGAACTAATACACCTCTCCTTCTGGAACTCCAATGGTGTGAGTGTTGGTCCATCTGATAATGTCCTCCAGGTCCTTGAAGCTCTGTGCCTTTTCAGTAGAGTAATACATGCTCTATCACCTTTTCATCAACTGCATGCTGATGCTCGCTGTGCTCTAGTCACCTTTTATCATTGGTTCAAAGCTAGCTAGATCCATCACATCTCTTCTTCCCACTTATGTAGCTCGTCATTACTTTTTCACGCTCTTGGCTGAAATATCACTTCCAACAAGTTAAAAGCATGACTCTTACATAATTATAAACAGAAAATATCTCAAATATTTTATTCAATTCATTAATTAATGAAAACATGTAAGATATTAAAATTGGTTCAAAAAGTTTTTGACAGAGTTTATGTAGTCAGTCACCAAAGGAATGCTTCGATAAATTTGCTGATAGATGCAAATTCCTACAAGGCAAGAAATATAATATTTGGAGTTCTATTTTTTATCAGATGGAAAACAATTGAATCTCTACCAGATTTGTATTTGTATTTGCATTGCTCTCTGACGGGAATTCTTTGTACCATTTTCAGTCTTGTATATGTTAACCACTACCCTTAAAGTTGTAAAGTAGCCAATTACTAGAAAGTCTGCATTACAGTGAAAGAAAGACTCCAGTAATCCCTTCCTCTTATTTCTAAGTTTTGTAGATTTTTAATACTTTTACCCCACCTAGGAAAACATCTCTTCTCTCTCTCTCTCTCTCTCTCTCTCTCTCTCTCTCTCTTCTCTCTCTCTCATGTCCTCATGCTTTTTCCTCTGCCTCTTGCTCAATTACATTTCTTTACGCCTTGACTTTGACCTACTCCTGTTGAGCAGTGTTTGTGTCCTTCCTCTATCACCATATGTGATGCAGCTTACGATTCAGATATTTGTTCCCTAAATATTGAGGAGAATCTCAAGTGTAGTTTTTCATTTGGGGTATAGTAAAATGGCATCATTTCTATTAAAAGCAGTCTTTATTTCTTTGGCATATCTGTATTCTCAGTTTTACTGTCAAGTTTATTAGGCTAAGAACTGTAATTAGTTTTTTTTTATTTACAGTAATTGTGTGCAGTAACTCAGGGTTGGGAAATATATAGATAGTGCTGTGCTACCACACTGAATACCCATAGCAAAGGCAGATATTGACAACTGAGATCAAAGTCATTCTTGTTCTACCTGGACTTAGCCTGAGATTCCTCCTTAGCACAGAGTTCCAGGCATCCACTACCAATTACTTGAAGTTGGTACAAAATGGAAAACTTTTAAACGAATGTTTTTAAGAAGTATGTCATAAAGCCATCTGGCTCTGGAGTTGGGTGTTTTGAGTAGGATCAATTA